CGTTCACCGAAAATTACAGTACGGTGTTCCTTTATAAGAGACTAATTACCTGACTGAGTACTTCGACTACTATGGCTCAGCATAGATATTAGCAAGGAAGTAGGAATAGAAGGGAGCGATGGGAGAAGCTGTAGCGTTGTCCGAATCGCCGAAAAGGAGCGGACGACGAAAAGAAAAAGAAAGAAACAGAGGGTACGGTGAATTTATACCGGTGTTCCGCTCGTTACGGCCTTGCATCTGTAACGAAGTAACGGATACGTTTCCTTGGGTCTCGAATAGGATCCACACACTTGTTCACGATCTCACACGCACACGCGTCCCCGATCGTTTCTATCTGGGCTGCGAGAGCCTCATGGACAATTGCAATTATGGGGCCTTCGTCCAGGTTGATTTATAAGTGTCGACGAGGAGAACGCTGCGCCCCGTCCTTATTCAACGCGCACCCACGTGTAATCTCTTCCCCGAGGTGCAACGCAATCCTCTTTTTTCTTATTCGGGCGAATCATCGTCGCGTCTACTCGATTCGTATGGTTTTCTAATACTAGAGAGAGGCCTCCTCGCGCCATTATACTCTTCTACTCGAGCGTTCTTCTTTCGTCGTTGGGAGTTCCCGAACACGAATACCAGTTGCCTGGAGGGTTTCGGTAGAATTCCCAGAAGACTCTCAGTGCCTTATGGAAATGAGATCTCGTCGTTGGCAGGGGAATGAGGAGCCCTTGTAAAGGGTCCGCGACCTCACCAAGGGTGTAACACGTTCTTCAACCAAACATGCACACTTCTGCATTTGTCTCTTGTAAAGTAATGTAAATTGCATTTTCTTTCTTAATTATTTATGTATTCTTATGTTCATCATGATTAAAAAAATGTCACATTTTCATCGATATTTAAACGTAAGGGAAAAGTAGCAGCAGTAGCAATAAGGAAAAATTTCCAAAAAAAGTACGATAAAAAATTGTTCGTGCAACGTGAAGTTAATTCACCCATAATTTTATATCTACAGACTTTCGGTCGTCATTGCCTCGAAACGTGTATCTTTACTTAAATAAACAGGAATCTCGTAAAATGTCCAATTTAACTGAGCAGGAAAAGAAAAAGAATTGGCAAAACATTGGTGCGTTTAAATTCGTTGGGAGATAATATAATCTGAATTTTATGACGCGGAATTCTCACGGTAGCATATAAGTCGGGGGAGAATTGAGTCCCCTGTAATTCGGTAACTCAAGACGGGAAACCTCGCTTCTTGAACTCTCGGACTTCGAATCTCTGCTACTTGCGGTCGGATGTGTAACCATCTGTTGCACGGTATGGTTTCTGATAGTAATTTCAACAGCCGAAGTCAATTTGGAGAGGTCGTACTACATAGAATGTTAAAAGAAAAAAATTCTTTGATGTAACTCAGTACCTAGTTTTTTTAATCCCTTGACTACGGCTGACTTTGAGACACACCGGTTGTACCATACGGTAGGAATTCAGAACGGCGAAATTTTGGGTA